CATTTGAATTATGGTGTTGAAGTATGATAGGAAGAAAAATGCTTTTTGTGAAACAAGGTCAGATAGGCTTAGTAAACTAGTTTGCATTTGACTGCATCTAGTTTCATTTTGCTGATAAGATGTGTTAGGTCTTGTTTTCATTAGGCCTAATTAACTTCTTGAATGGGCAAAAAATTAAGTGAAAGAAATGTATAAAAATTCTGTGGACTTGCAACACTAGAAACTGAGTTTTGATACCTGTGGTTGGCAAAATGTAGATAGCCTATTGTGTAGCTTTGTGCAAACAAACAAATAATTTATTTGTTTTAAATTAACAATAATGAATTTTAGAAATATTTTTGTCATTTCATTTTTATCAATCACATCCCTGAGCAAAGTATATTTGGAGCTTTTACAAAAATTGACTTTTTTGAACTTGCAGTAAGCTTGACTTGCAAGCTGTAGGTTCAAATTCTCTCATCAAACACACTTGTCATTTCAGTTTTGAGGGCATCTATAATGTTGTGTTCAATATCAGTTTATGTTGGTAACGAGTAGACCATGAGATGACAGAGTAGTGGTGGGTGGGTATTGACTAGATTCCTTCCTCTCGCTTCTAAATTAGTGATGGCTAGATCTAAAGAAAGAAAGAAACAAACAGAAAACTTGCAACAACAACAACAACAAAAAAAAAGGAGTGGGTTTATATGCATGCAAAAGTTGTTAACAGATTTCCTCATTTTGTCAACCAAAGTTTTAAAAAATTGACATTACTTCATTTGAGCATAAATATTGTAATCAGGAATTAAAAAAAAAATTGTAATGCTTGATAGAAGGTTTAGGCTGTGTATCTGTGATGTCCAAGGAAGTTTCTTCATGTATAGCTACAGACTGAAATGGTAATTGTTAATTCATCTTGACATTTCAAGTAACTTCTGTTTCTTATCTTCAGAGGAAGTTGTAATGTTTTGTTACTTTTCGGGTCAGCCCTCTGGTGGCTCAGCGGCAAGAACAAAAGCATATGGCACTAAAAATTAGGTTTTGACAATCTACGTGGGCACAGCACAGATGGCACATTGTGTAGCTTTTTGTTTAATAACAAACAAAACTTTAAAATCAAAATAGATTGTTTCTTTATTTCATAATTAAAATGAATTATTGATTTCATGATATGTGTTTGAATATCAGTTTTTCCTATTATTTTAAGTAGAGGATTGTACTTCTTTTTTGTGTGCTATTTAAATAACATGTAGTAATTTTCACTTGAATTTTGGTTTTCCTTAGAAAAAAGTACGTGGTGTGTTAGATAAGCTGTGTAGCTTTACCTGGATATTCAAAGACAAGGTATGCATGTAATATACATCTTACTATACTGAATGTAGTGTGTATATGTATCTATTTATATATGTGACCGAAATAATAAATACAATGTGGAGGCATCTGTTGAATGGCACCACAAACAAAAATCCATAAATATATTTCAAACTTTGTGTATTCAAGATTCAGACAATTAGAAAAAAAACTACTGTATGTGCAAAAACCATTTCTTTATCAAGAAATCACAATTTTTAATAAAAGTACTCTTCTCACAACAAGAACATGACTTTCACTAGGACTGTATGTGAAGGTTTGATAATATCTTTATTGATTTAATTTGTAAATATATTCCAAAAAAAACTCAGTTCTTAAAAACAACTTATTTTTTCAAAAAAGGGTACTACTTTTAATATACAAATACCTTAACCATTTATATTGGCACAATCAGAAAACTTTTCCCATGCAGTACATCTCGGATAAATCCTTTTTAGAAAATGTTTACTTTTCTCAACTTTTTTTTTTTTCAATAAGGTATGAATACTATGATTAGTAGTACTCACACAAACAGTTGCCCATGGGGTGGCATTTCTGCTAGTTTGGTATAACATATATAAAAAATTAATTTGCCCTGTGGATAGTATTTCTTTGTTTTATTTTATTCTGTGCATTTTCTGTGAGGATGAATTTTATGTAGATTTATATACTGATTAATTTGATTAATTGCACAGATAAGGTTATTAAGGAAATGTTATCGCTGGAAAAGAAAAATACATTAAAAAATGTATATTTGTGTCTAAAAAGAGGTAAAAGATGAAAGGTTATAAGCATACACGTTTAGATTATTGTTATTTTATATATTGTATTTAAATAGTAATGTTCAGTTTAATCAATGGAGAATTATAAAACTTGATTTCACAAGCTGTAATAAATAAAAGATAAGGCTAAACTTGCTTTTTTAAGGAAATGGATATAAATAAGCTGAAGTTAGAATACCCTTGAAATAAATTGTATACAAGTTTTCAAAGCTTTATGCAAAAGTTTAAGAATCTTAAATCTGTCTTTTAAATCATTGAGCTGAATGCTGTGATAATAGTTTTCAAGCTTGGAAGAGAGATCTAGTCCATTTTCTTCTTGGTTTTCTTTCTTCAGGTGGTACTAATATTTTCCCTGTAACATTAATATGTCATGGTAATGTGACATACAATGAATGTCAGTTATTAGAATGTAAGTGGTGTACTTAATAATCCTAAATTACTTTAATAACTAAAATTCTCTAATGTATTTTTCTGTATTCTCTTCTACCAACCATTCTCCATTGTTTTATGTTTCATATTTTTCAAGATTGTCTGTTTATAAAGAAGTAATGATATTTTTCTTTTAGTGTGAAACAACTGTTGACAAGTATTTTGATACATTTTACAACTCTTTAATGAATACTATACTGGTAAGTGAAGGTTTTCGTTTGAGTAGTAGAAAAGCTAGGAGTTTTATATATATATTGCATTTGGGAAAATTATCTATATGTAAGTGTGAAATATGAAGAATTAGAAACATGGTTTTGAAAAAGTGCTATTGGACTTTTTCATTTTGCACATTTGTTGAAACTTGTGTGTTTATATTGAAGTATTTAGTAAATGGGGTAAAAATTGTATGGAAAAATTTCATAAACTAGTAACATACTCATGTACATACACAAGCATGCGCACGCACACACATATATATTTTCGTGTGTGTGTATGTTTGAATTTGTTTCTATAATGAGCAAAAGAGGTACAGAAAGTTTTCTTTTGTGTAATAATGTCAAAGGTCAATAGATAATTTACCAAAATTTACAGTGTTTTCTCTAGTTTTAGTGTAGGGTGGATTTGTTTGTCATTTAATTCATGTTTGTTTGTTTGTCATAGTTTTATGATTATACTTTTTATACTTGTATGCCAGAAAAAGATGAGACAAATTTATTTTTAATATAAAAATAGTTGAGTATGATGTTTTGTATGAACTTAACTCCTGGTGAAATATCAAAAGTTTGAAATATGTTAATTTTATTTTAACTGTTGTTTGTGGGGCGGCCTGATTGTTATGGTGTTTGACTTGCAATCTGCAGGTCGTGGGTTTGAATATCTGTTGCCGAATATGCTCACCCTTTTCAGCCATTGGGGCATTATAATGTGACAGTCAGTCTTACTATAAATCTGATCGAGAATCATCTTCTAAGGTGCCCCAACAGTCGTATTGGGACTCCAAAAAAAAATTGTTTGTGGGATAGTTTCAAAGGTTAGACTGTACTGTCTCCTAGAAAGTAATGGTAACTTTTCAACACTGTCTTTTGTCTTCTTGAATTTTTGTTTGTTCACTGGACTCAGTTGCTGTCAAAACTTGTTTTCAGTTAGTATATGCCATCATAGTTGTAATGCTCACATGATTCAGACTCAAAGTTTTCCATGAGATTTGCACTTCCCTTTTTGTAATTTTTCCTGAGTCAGTGCGTTTGTTATCACGAGTATCTTAAATATTGTTCAGTTGTTATATTTTTGTTGTTTAATTCCAAAATATTTTCTATCCAGTTATCACGATGCTTTCACCCACTCACTCATAATATTTTGTTTTTGCATTTACATATATGTGCATCTATCAAAACAATCTGCCTCTGTGTGTGTGTGTGTGTGTGTGAGTATGGGTATGTTTGTATAATGTGTGTTTATAGAGTATTGCATGGCGATCTATTTCCCATGAAAAATACTTGTTGATAATGTAATGTAACTATGTTGTGCATTTATAAATTGTTATGCTAATTAATATTATTATGAATATTATTTTTACTTATCTGAAGAATTGTTAATTTTTTATTGGTAAAAAAATATGTTGAATGATTTATTTTTTCTGTTGATCAAAATGAAAGTAAAATAAAACATTTAACATCTCACTTAAAAATTGGTGACAGTAAGTACCGGTAAATGTGTGTACAATTATAAAAACTTTTCAGTCATTAGTGTATTGTTGTAATCTGCAATATATTTGTGGATTTTTGTGATCATGATTCTTTGCTGAATTAACTATTGCTTGCTTATTACATGATAAAGGTATCAAACATTTAAGTATAAATATTGGTTTTGTTACAGGACAGCAGCTCATTGTGCTACTACTTGAAATACTGCTCCAGTCCAAAGAAATATGGGGCTAAAGACTGGGTAGGTTTTGTTCAAAACAGTGTCACAATCAATCCATGCATGTTCCCACTGGAAAACGAGTTTTGAAATATCACATTAGCCACAAATAGCCATAAAGCAGTAATGTGAAGATCCTTGAAGGGGTTACAAGCTACTCCTTATAATAATGAAACAACTAAAGTTAAAAATGTATAAAAATAAAGTATTTCATTGTGAAAAGAAAAGCTAAATTGGCAACACGACCAACTACTGATTTATTATATATTATGATTGTTGTTTTTTTACTGTTTTTTAATATTTCAGACACACTCTTACCATTTCTTCTATATTCATTGTGATTGGATTATTTCACTCATTACCATAATTCATAATAATAAAAAAAACCACAGATTTACTGAAATATTGTAAATTGTATTGAAATTGGGTTCATTATGAGATGTTTGGATTGACTGCATACAGAATTCTGCTTTAGTTAGGCAATATAATGAAATTAATAAGTGTATCAGTATTTATGTAGATGTGGGTGTAGTGTGTTAAAGAAATATATGTATATTCATACACATATCATGGTGCTTAACTTCGCATCACTGTATGGAAAGTTTTTTCTTTCATTTTGGAATAAATTCTAATCTGTAAGAATTCATACAATTTAGAAGTAATGATTGTAGATACTAATTTGCTGCTCCACATTCAACTGTTAGTATGCAGATAGTTTAAAAGTGAATAAAATATTACTTAGATAAAAAGAAAAGTTATTTAATGCCAAAATATATAAGCTAGTAGAATTAGACAAACAAAATTGTCAACAAACCCATTAGTGCTTATCTCTGGAACAGACTCCTGATATCTTACCAGTGGAAAATGGTGATACTTTTTGTGTGCCATGTCGTATTTTGTTGGGGATAGCCCAAACTCAGTTAGAGATGCCAAACTTGGAGGTAAGAGAAAAATGTTTAATTGTTCAAAATAAATATTAATTATAGTTTAGTAAATGATCAGGTGAAAGTACTGGAACTTTCTACCACGCTATGTTCATTGCTTAGTTGCCCATTGGCGACTCAGATTCAGAGTTGAAAACCTATGTTAAATATGAGTGTTAGTGTGGTAGAAAGTCCATTTGTTTTCTCATTATGCAAAAAAAATGTATTGATGTGAGCACTAACAACATTTTTCTTTTTATTAAACATTCATAAATATGTCATAAGTATGTTAATTATGGGAATAATAGTAAAGTTAAATGCTCTAAATAGTATGAGAAACTTGACAAATGCTAGATGTTGAATTGTTTGTGTATTTGAAGTGGTTTGGCTAAGAAGAACAAGCTGATATTTTAACTTTTTAATTACAGAATACCTTGAAAGGTGAACTGCTAAAAGTTTGTAACGAAACTAAAGGATTTTCTGAACTGGTGAGCAAGATTTACTGGTTTAAAATTTGTTGTTTACTAGACATAGTTAAAACCTTAAGTTTTATGCACTGATGAGATGTCCTTTATTCATCATGAGTTACTTTTATTATAATAGATAAATAAATAATACACAGAAAAAATAAGAAATATATTACTTACCTGGGCCCTCTTGTGTTTTTGCTGTAAAATGTTGTTGAAACTTTCATTATTGTTTTGCTTTCTAATTATATCAGATAAGAACCGTTAAATATTCAGCTAGGCTCATCACTGTGTTTCATGTGGGAATGAATTAAGTTTGAACTGGAAGCAAAATAGACAATTCCCTGTACAGAAAACAAAGTAATATATAACATCATTTAATAGATTAAAACTTTGGCTTTCTATTGGTTATAAATAATATGGTATTAATGACAGAGAAAACTATTGGCAATTTGTTCGAGAGGTTGTGACAAATGGACAAGGCAAGAGAGGTCTTGTTTTCTATTTTATGACTCTGTAACCAAATAAGATTGTAGGCTATAAAATTATTGGATGAGTGTTATTCTGAAAGATGTGAGAAGAAAAATTGGATAAATGATGATAAAGCATAAATTGACAATTCTAAATGAAAACTTTTTCCAGTTTGTTCTGTGTGGTGTTTTGAGCAGACACCCTTCATCAGACACTAAAGACCATGTTACAATGGAATTAGGCTATAAATAATTGTAAAAAGATAATATAATACCAAGGTTCTAATTACACAAGTTCAATGTGGAGCACAGTGAAAAAAATACTGATAAAAACATTGTTGAATGTATTACGTAAACATTATTGAAATTAGCATGAATATGAAAAACAAAAGAAATTAGAACTAAAATTGGATTTAGAGATAACAAACATAAATATGCCAAATAATAAAATAATAGCATAATAAATGATATCAAAATATAAGGAAACAAATTATGGGAAGGAGAAAACTAATGCAGAAGGTAGGGTTAAAACGTAAAATTTAACCAATAATAAAAGGTAAGGTAAATGTGTCTAAAGAAAAGGTTCAAGGGAATGAAATTAGAGGAAGGGTTGGCAGAGTTTAGTAATTACTTAAAAGTAAATATTTAATTTATACCACAAGGGGACTTGGTGTTGAGTTCGAAGATAAGACTGTGTTCAAGGCTTCTCATTTTAATTTGTTGAATGGCACATTTCTCATGATTGAGACTATCATGTTGGAAGTACCATTGTAGTTAAGAGAATTGAAGTGTCTAGGAACTGGGAGGTCAGTGGACCCTTTTCTTACAGATCTAAGGTGTTCACGAAAATGATCACCCAGTTTGTGAGTTGTTTCTCCGTTATATAGTTTGGCACCTGCTACACTGGATGCAGTAAATGATGCATTCTGATGTGCAGGTGTAATATCTCCTGTTGTCGAAAGTGTAACTAGGGCCAGTTATGGTGGTGGTGTTTGAAATGTATGAACAAGTATAACAAATGTTTCTGGTACAGAAATGAGTTCTGATAATGGGGGAATTGTTCTGTAGCTTCAAGTGCAATAAGTAGTCTTTGAGGTTGAGATTACGTCTATAAGAAACTAGGGGAGGTGTAGTAAATATTTTGGCAATGGTAAGATCTTTCATCAATAATTAATTTTTTATTTATGACATTGGCTTATGATCTTTTGAGGGGATGGTATATTAAGAACAAGGGGGTTCTATCGTGTTGACTTTTGTCCTTAGGATGGGTGGAATTTGATTTTATGTGTACATGGTTGTGAGCTTTTTTGATAACACTGGCTGGGTAGTTACGTTGTTGGGATTGTGTCTATAAGAAACTAGGGGAGGCATAGTAAATATTTTGATAGTGATGGAATCAGTCATCAATAATTTAACATTTTTTGTATGATATTGTCTGCTAATCTGTTGAGGAGATGGTATGTTAAAAGGTGTTCTATCATGTTGACTTTTGTTCTTAGGTTGGGTGGCATTTTATCTGATGTGTAGATGGTTGTGTGCTGTTTTGATGACACCAGGCTGGTAGTTATGTTATTGGAAATATCCTGCCATTTCAGTGGTTTTGGCCCTCAGAACATTAGCATCTCAGTCTTGTGAACTGCTATGTAAAAATTATGCTTTGACTGAGTAATAATATTATAATGAGTAATTTACGTTAAGGGTTGGTAAATAATTTAGATAAGAAGGAGGACCTAGAAAGCAAATGTCACAATTCTCATACTAGAGGAAATTGAGGATTTTCTTCAAATATTGTGTTATAAAATTAAGAACCTGAAAGTTGTATAATATTATAAATCTAGATTACTATCTACATTTTGATGCCAAATTTATTTATATACCGTGATAATAAAGTAGTTTAATTTAGAATGAAATCAGCTAAACCTTGTGACATGTACAGAAAAGGATGTGTATATGGAGAGACTTAATATTGTTTTTTGATGCACATTTCTTGCAACAAAATAACCTTCTATACAGAAAAGGCTAAGAAAAAGCAACAATTTCATCAATTAATTCTATAAGACCCTAATCAAACAGATTATTATTATTACCTGAAGAATAGTTTGTTTTTTGTTTCTACAGAAATTTTGAATGCATTACATTTTCTCACTTAAAAATTGGAAAGTAATTATTAGTAAATATGTATCCAGTCATAAAATATTTTGGCCATTGGTGAATTGTGTAACTTGTAATATTTGTCCTTGTGATTACTCGTGATTACATAGAAGTTAGTTTGTTTAATAAATTTCTATGTAAAATATTAAGTAAGATCTTTCTTGGCAATGAAAGGGTTAACAGTGAAACTGCTAAAAGAGAGGTTATAAAGGTATTCACCTCATGTGTATATGTTTTGTTGGGGTGGTTTACTCATCTAAAGAGTAGGAAAGCTGATACAACCTGAATGTGTGCATGTGTGTGTTTGATAATTATTAGCATGCTTATATTATTATTATTGTTAGTAATACAATTAACTTCATTATTGAGCCCAACTTTCCAGTAATGAATATTTATCTCTTTTCAGTGTGCAATTCTTGTAAATGATACATTTGTGGACTTGTACCAGTATTTGGTCAATTTAGTAGTGGTAAGCATGAATTTTTCCCATACATTTCTTTGTGATTGGTTATTTCTCTATTATTATGTGGGACTTAAGCTTTTTTCTTAATTGTTTTAATGTTTCTAGCCTTTTTTTCATATTTGTGTTAATTATAGTATTCATAATTTGTATATTTCTCACAATGCTGTTATATCTTGATTTTGTGATATTTTGAAACCCATAAGTATGTTTACATTAGGAATAAATGTTCTCTCAAGAATATTCCAAATATGTGGATTTTTGCACTATCAAATGCTGTTTCTATGAAGTATTAAAGAAAGTATACATTATCTCTGTTCCTTGTTATCATTGTGTGGCTTATTTATACTTCCAAGTTAATATATTGATTCTGATCCTTTTGGTTTCTATTCTTAGACACCAGATTTATGTGACAAAATTGGTTTATGTTCAGCTGATACGAGTGACAAGGTAGGTCTGCATCTGGATGCTGTTTCATTAAAGCTATCATAGAGATTAACACTGATTTATTCTAACTGAAGATTGGTGATTATAAAGCAGTTTATAGTTAACTATGAATTTGCTGTATTATTTCTCATATACCCATTGTAATGCAAGACCTACAGATCATGATCTATGAATAACCCTTAAATTTGTATTTCAAAAAAACAAACAAACCACAAATGCATAAAGTAAACTAGATTTATATCTAACTTCTTGTACCCCAAACACACTTAAGCTGTATATTTGTATCTAACTATAGCACTTTAAACACCCAAAATAATCCTTAGGTTTGTAGCTACAGCAGCCCAAAAATATTATCTAGGTTTGTAACTACAGCAGCCCAAAAATATTATCTAGGTTTGTAGTTACAGCAGCCCAAAATATTATCTGGGTTTGTAGCTATAGCAGCCCAAAAATATTATCTAGGTTTGTAACTACAGCAGCCCAAAAATATTATCTAGGTTTGTAGTTACAGCAGCCCAAAAATATTATCTAGGTTTGTAGTTACAGCAGCCCAAAAATATTATCTAGGTTTGTTTTTCATTTTTTACCAATGTCTCAAATGCCTGAACACCCATGAGATTTTCTAGACTTGCATCTAACCACAGCTTTCCAAGTGCCCAAAATAATCGCTAGATTGTGTTTGAGAAATTAGTGTTTCTATGTCACATTGAAAGGTTCTTGATATAGTTAGATAATTATACATAATTATGCTTCAGAAAATAATTATTTGAGTTCAGTTAGTATTTCAGTGTTTCAGGAGGTCACAATTATCATATTTCAGCAAACCTGAACTTACAAGTGTTTTCCAAGTGTTCATAACAGTACAAATGTTATTTGAAAAATGTGAGCATACTTTACTAAACTTTACTAAATGACTCCACAAAACTGTTAAGAAGTTGGGTCTTCCTATGAAGATAGTCAAACATCCTGGAAAAACTTTCCAAAACAAATTTGGTAGGTCTGCATTTAGCTTGAATACAGTGTATAAGGAAAAAAAAAATTAGCTCTTCAAGATTTAATAGTTGTCATGTAAATACATAATGTAAAAAAATGTGAAGAATGCAGCAAATTTTACATACAAGAAAATGAGAACTACACTTGATTTTGGAACATGTGAAGGCCAGCATTTCTGTAGAAGTTGTCAAGCACAGTCTTTCTTAGAATGGAAATACGCAAATTAGTTATGATACAGAACTATGTAGAGAAATTAAGACCATGACTAGCTTTTGTAGTCTGAAGTATAAGTTATAACTACACTTCCCATGAAAGTTTTCTAAATAAACATATGTAGATAAACTTAAGAATATATGCATCTTTGCATGCGTTAATTTCTAATTGATACCTTTGAGAATTATAAATGAAAGTATGTTAAATATGCAGTATTTTGTAAGCCTGAATATATGATACTCTGTTTTTATTATCAATAATGTTATATTCAGGATTACTGTAAGGACATGTCATTTATCACTGTTTAATGTACACTTGTTCATGTATTTTTCAAATAAAGTTTGTATATATATATGTCAGCTTAAAGAAACCATATGTAAATTCAGGTTTGCTGAAACACAGGAGTAATTAAAGAAACCATATGTAAATTCAGGTTTGCTGAAACACAGTAGTAATTAAAGAAACCATATGTAAATTCAGGTTTGCTGAAACACAGGAGTAATTAAAGAAACCATATGTAAATTTAGGTTTGCTGAAACACAGGAGTAATTAAAGAAACCACATTGAAATTCAGGTTTGCTGAAACACAGTAGTAGTTAAAGAAACCACATGGAAATTCAGATTTGCCAAAACACAGTAGTAATTAAAGAAACCACATTGAAATTCAGGTTTGCTGAAACACAGTAGTAGTTAAAGAAACCACATGGAAATTCAGATTTGCCAAAACACAGTAGTAATTAAAGAAACCATTTTTAAATTCAGATTTGCTGAAACACAGTAGTAATTAAAAAAACTGTGTTAATACAGGTTTGCTGAAATACAGCAGTAATTAAAGAAACCAGATGTAAATTCAAATGTCTTTAAATTTATACTTTTTAATCTAGTTAGCTTATACATCACATATGACCATATCATGCTAAAACTACATGCAGTCGTTTTTTCTTTTTACTTTGTAATTAAGATATAACGAAGATTTTGGTCACGTTTTAGAAATAAATACTTGTTTTCAAAGTTTTCTGTGTTAAATATAAACAATTGTTCAGCCATATCAATATTTTTTGGTTGAAAATTAGAAACTCTAAAATCATATAAAATATTTAAGATGCTCAAGTGAATGAAGTTTTAAAAATTACCAGGTCACCCGGAATTTTTTTAATTCAGTTTGTATTTTCTCTGTTACTAGGCATGTGTTTACCAAAATCATCTTAAAAAGTAATGCTCACTAGGAGGCATCCAACCAAGGAAGGCATTTGTTTTATAGCTTAAATTTTGCTTATGAGTCGTTATTCTCAACTAGTATTTTTTGAGAGTAAGAGGTAAAAGAAAAAACATTTCACTCACAGTTTAAAAGATTCATCTGATAACCACCTTATTAACTGTACATTTCTTTAGGCTTTTTTTAAATATTTTATTAGTTTGAAAGCATTTTAGACATATTTTTGGGAAACCTGATAGTATACAAACTAGCATTAGCATGTGAAGTTAACAACAAAAAAACAATTATAGTTAAAGCAGAAGCTAGACCACTGCAGAAGAAATTGTAAAATTAAAATACATTATTATTTTTTTCTGAAGTTGATTGTTGTTTAATTGACTCTTACTTAAACCTGTCAAATACTGGTCCTAGGACAGATATCATTATCCTATGTATTCTATGTAAAGATTGAAGTAATATACGAGGCCTGTGAGAAAAGTATCCGACCTTTGGCCGGGGAATAAAAACTGGCATACCTGGAG